TCGGCTGTGACGTCGAGAATGGCCGGAGAAAACGCCCAAGAGCTATGGCACCACCGTTACCTTACCCTCTTAGTCGGAAAACAACCATGATGCCGCCGCTGTAGCTCCTGCCGTCGGAGAAGCCGAGAACCTCGAAGACCGACGTGTGGTTCGTAAATGGTTAGATCCTCCACTGTTACATCGCCGCCATCTATGTTGGAATCGAAGGGCCATCGAGTCGAGTACCTCTTGTCGCCGTCGGATGACCACCTGACGGGTGTCGTTGCCGCCGATTACGCTGCTGCTGCCGGTTGTTTCGTTCAACGCCATCCGCCGCCATGGTCGCCGCCGCTGCTAGCTTTCTTGTGCTGCTGCCTTCGCCACCCACCTCAGTGGGTGTTGGATTTATTTTCTGTGCATGAGATGTGTGTCCGTGTACTATGATGGGATGAGGCCGCCGGAGATCCGAAGAAACCACCACAGCCACCACTGTAGGGTGGTGGCTGCCACCATCTGCCGCCGCCGGCCACCTTAAGGTGGTTGTGTGTGTTTTTGTGTATTTTAGGTGTGTGTGTGTTTATTAGCGTGTGTGTTATTTGGATCGTATTGTAAATTGTAACCAACCAAGATAGTGAAGAAAATTCGTCACCACCACCGTGAGGTGGTGGTTGCCGCCTCTTGCCACCACCGGCCACCGTGTCGGGTGGCGGTGTGCTTTGATTGCGTTTGGACCTGATTTGGATGTTTGGACAAGGGGCTACTAAACCCTAATGGGCCAAAAGAAACCCTAGTGGGCCCAAAGAGACCCCAATGTACCTAATAAAACCCTAATGGGCCCAATAAGGCCCAAAGTGACCTAGATGCTCAACCAATTGACTAATGGGCTAGTATTGGGTTGGAAAACCCTAATTAGGGTTTGGAAAACCCTAATTGTGAGAATCATGTGGGACGCACATGAGAATTAATTATTAATCCTAAAATAATAATTAATAATCATTGGCAAACTAACTTAGCAATAATTGACTTAATGGATTAAGTCCTTAATGGATTAAGTCCTTTAGGGGTTAAGTAAGAAACACTTAACCCTAATCATCATTTCATGTGAAAGCGCTAATCTCACTTGGGCTTTGAATTGAGCCTTCCTATTGGGCTTGGTGATTGGACTATAGGCGGGTCATTCAAGAACAAGTTAATGGACCAAAGTAATTAAAGGGGCTTTAGGATAAGGCCCATGTAAGGACTTGGGCCCAATTTGGAAAGTTGGGCCATATGTTGGGCTTTGGCCCATTATTTTACTTTTGGGCTTTTGTTGTGTGAGTTGGAATTTGGGCTTGGAACCCAATTATTAATTGGGTATTGTTTGATGTTGACAGTTCGAGAATCTGTCAACCAGCAGCGGGAGCTTTACCTGCGGGACTTCAGTAGTGCCAGGTGAGTTATCCTCACTATACTAAGGGGTCTAAGGCACCAAGGTCGGCCCATTGATATGTTATCCTAGCAGTGTTAGGTGTTGGGTATGAGTTAGTGTTGCATGCTAGTGGTTATGCCAGTTAGGTAGACCTGTAGGACTACCTGTGATGTTATTTGATTATTGCATGCTCAGTGATTATGTGGTATGTTATATGTTATGTGGGATGGGTTGAGGTTGTACTGCTCCATGCGGTAGCCAACAGACCCTAGGAGCATTCCAGTTACGGGCTAAGGGAGACTCGTACTGTGGGCTCGGGAGTGTTACAGTCTGTAGGGCTGTAAACCCGTTATGTGCTGTTCTGTTCAGTTTGTTATAATATGATTATGTGGACTGTATGTGTATCGGTATTTTGGGGGTAACTCACTAAGCTTTCGGGCTTACAGTTTCAGTTTATTGTTTCAGGTACATCAGGGGATCGTGGCAAGGCAAAGGTGTGATCGTACAACTCCTCACTGTTCATGAATTTGTTTTGGGATACTCTGATATAATATATTTTGAAAACAAATTTGTAATAGTTAATGAATTGGAAATGTTTTTAAAAGTTTAAATTGGCTTAAATTTTTGGACGTTACATCTAAGGCTAAGTCCAATGCGTTGGGTCGCTCCTTCTGACCTTCTACAGTCCTTCTAACACCCAACTGAGTTCTTTAGACCCTCAACAGATATGGGACTTTATGCCTTGGAATCGCCGAGTCGATAACGTCCACACCCTAAATCCTCGATTTCTGATGTACAACCTTTGACCAAAAGATAGATCCAAGCCCCTAGGCTCGATCTAGCACGTAAAGTTACAAACTTTACGTGCATGCATGGAAGAATGAGCCCAAATGGCTCAAAAAGGAACTCCCAACATGCATGAGGCTTTCCATGAGTTCTAAAACAGTTACTTTCTGCCTTAGGGTCCCTCAAGAACCCTGGATCCGAAACCCTAGCCCTCAACCATGCTTGCAATCATGGTTGGTTGCCAAAATGGCTCTTAGAAGCCCTAACTTCCTTCAAGAATAGATCTATAATAATAATGAGCAAGGTATAAGCTTTATACCTCAAATGCACTGTGGAAGATGCTCAAACTCGGATCCCTCTAGCCTCTTCTTGTTTCTTCAAGCTTTTCCTTCCTTTCTTAGATCACAAAAGCACCAAAATCACTCAAAAGGCCTTAGATCTTCACTCACACGATTAGAGTTTGCTATGGGGGTCTTCTGGGAGCAAATGGGACGAGTGGTGGCTGAAAGAGATGGTTAAATAGGGTGCAAACCCTCAGATTAGGGTTGTTGTCCAGCCAGGGCCTACTCGTCGAGTCCGGGACCCGACTCGCAGAGTCCATCACTTAAATCCCGCGTCCCGTCCCACTTCTACTCGGCGAGTTGGTCCTTCAACTCGTCGAGTCCAAGGCCAAAAATGCAAAACACTTAGATAAAAATAAAAAGAAATACGTACCAAGAACCAGGTGCTACAATTTGTGTTGCAACGTTTACATGAGAATTGGCCAAAATGCAATGTTTAAATGCTAAGAATGAGCATTACATGGTGTCAATGATGGGGATGTGGGAATGAGTTTTCTTTGTTATTCATCATATCTTAATGTTGGGCAAGTATTATGAAGTTCACATGTGTCCCTTTTCACTAGACTTTAATAATTATGCATACAGGTGGCATTGTTAAGAAATGTCTTTTTGGTTTTGGAATTTATAATTCAAAAGGATTAGGAAGGAGTGTAGGTTAAATATGAGTAGAGAAGTAATCATTGTTGGGAAAATGAACATAAAGATCCCTAACAATCCTTTCAATAACAACAAAAAAAAAAAAAAAAAAAAAGAAACACAAGAACAAAAACACATGAAAACTTTAAAATCGAAAAAAATCACAAGAGAGAAATATCCATTATATGATAAATTATTACAATCACATAGACTAATCTTTCAAGTCTTTCGAAAAACAACTATCATCTTCCAAAATGTTAACAAACAATTTCTACACTTTAAAATAAGATAAGAAAGAAAAAACACTTCAAGTGTATTTTGGTATAGTATTTTAAAACCAAAGTCTTGGACTTCTTTTATAAGTTTGGAACCCATCCAAAAATGTAGGATGGAGAGCCTATAGAGCTAATTAGGCTATGTTTGGCGTCCTAGCTGAAAAGCTAGTTGTTAACCGAAAAGCTAGCTGATAGCTGAAAAACTAGCTGTTAAATAAAAAGCTAGCTGATAGCTGAAAAGCTAGCTGATAAAAAATAACGTTTGGTAAAACTAGCTGAAAAGCTAGCTGAAATATATAAAATTACATAAAATGACATGTAAGAGTATGTGTTTCTATAATTAATTAAGGGGTGTATTTGGAAAATTTTTAAAAAAAAAACTCCTAAAAAGCTAGTCCAAATAGCTTTTCGAAAAGCTAGCTTATAAGCTACTTTTTGGCTTACCAAACACGACAACATAAAAAAGCTCGAAAAATAAGCTAGCTTATCAGCTAGCTGTGGCGCGCCAAACATAGCTTAAGACATGGCTACTAGATGGAATTCAAATTGTTGAATTTTAAAAGTTTTTTTTGCGACAATTTCTTGATATGGGGACCAAGGCTGAGTTGTCTCGATTCCCAAAGAGTAGTGGTGAGTACTCCATCTTTTATGCAATATGTTAATCACTAGGTATGAGACCCGTGTATTACACGGGTTAATTTAAAAAAAATTAAACATTAAATTAAAATGTAAACAGAAAATATTTTTTAATATACAACTTTAAAATAAGAAAGGAAGAAACGTATTTATTGCAATTTAATATATATATATATATATATATATATATATATATAATACTTTACATATATAAATATGACTTTAATTTTAAAAATTGAAACAAACCAAAAATTGACAAGTGGATAATATGTATTTCAAAAACACCTCAAAATGACAAGTGTCAAAACTCATAAAAAATTGACATGTGGCAAAAAAAAAAAAAAAAACTTTCATTTGTTAAGGAGAATTTTAAAAGAAGTCTCAAACTTTTTTCTTGGGTAGTCCCTTAGTTCTCAATCAAATTTATTTAATGGTAATGAATTACGAAATGACATGTTTTCTTATATGATTAGCCGTGAAAGAAAATTAATTTAAAAAATAACATTTTACAGTTACCTATAAGCTTTTACTTGTGCCGTACGTACAAACATCAATTGAACAAATTTAGGTTTAACATACAAGAACTCAAGTTCCTATTATCAATAAATACTTTTCAAAAATCATTTCACGTATATTTAACCAAATATGGTCAAGAAAGTAATTCAATATTGAGTCGGCTGTAGATCATCATCAGCAGAACATACAAGAGAAATCTGAATATAAACAAGGGAAAGTTGGATAGAACCGATACAATTGGAACCAACCCCGTGGGCTTGCTTAAGGATGTAGGGACTGACATGATTCGAAAAACCAGGTGGCTGTGGCTGATGCATGAAGACAATTTCTTGTAAATGACCGTGAAGAAAAACATTATTCATGTCAACCTCGTGAATCTAGGGGTGAGCATACCCGCCCAAATTTTTCTAGGACCAAGGGAGACTATGACTTTGAGGTATTTTGATTCGTATTCTTCCTATTTGCAGCATCAAGTTGAATCAAAGCAGATTTGGTTCCTGTTGCTGCTGCATTGACTTTACCTTTGAAAATAGATCTTAGCTTCTTAATGAATCCCTCTTCATCAATAACAGAATTGTCGCTTTTGCTTTTCAATTCTTGTGAAAGAATAGACTTGAGCTTCATGACAACCTCCGTCATGGTAGGGCGGTTTTTGGGTTGCGTGTGCAAACAGTGACCTGCTAAGCTTGCAAACTCCTTCAAGCACTTTTTGGAGATTTGCCCCATCAGTCTCGGATCAATAATACGATCGACTTTTCCCTTTCCCTGTTTGATTTGCTCTTGAGCCCAACCTGCTAAACTCCATTGCTCTTCATCATCAAAGCTTCTGTCCACCGCTTTTCTCCCTGACAACACTTCAAACAGCACAACCCCAAACGCGTAAACATCGGATTCTCTTGTCAATTTTCCGGTATTGTAATAGCACGGATCCATATACCCAAATGTCCCTTTCACAGCGGTGCTCACGTGAGTTCGATCTATTGAACAAGTTTTAGCCAATCCAAAGTCGGAAATCTTAGCATTAAAGTTTGCATCCAATAAAATATTGGATGACTTCACTTTCGGCATCAACTCATAAACGAGGATCATCTCTTTTTCTTCATTGCAGTAACCAATTAGGGATACGAGGCTACCATGGCTGAGCTTAGAAAGGACTGCAACTTCTGCTTCGAACTCATGGGCTCCTTGGGTGGACGTGGAATCCAATCGTTTAATTGCAACTTCACCTTGTGACAAGTTATTGGTGGAAGATTTATACACCTTGCCGAATCCTCCACGACCAATCACTAAAGTCTCGTCGAAGTTGTTGGTTGCCGATTGAATCTCTGCGAGAGTAAAAAGTTGACATCTTGACCATAGAACCTGGTCAACGTAGTCACCAAACGCATCAACATAAACATTAAACACCATCGTAGGACCTTTGATTCGAGCTGCAGTGAATGGATGGCTTCTTGTGTTTGTCTACTTATTCCTTATTAAACTCCTCCAAATTAATTTAAATTACTGGCTTCTTGAAAAGCCAATCAATAAGGACTTTTTTCAAAAAAATCCCAAACACGCTCTAAACACCATCTTGACGTCTTGTGATGTCGGCGGATGCCCATTAATGTAAGGAAATGCAAAACGGCTGTAATGGTTAGATTTCACATTAACGTCACACCATTTTTTTTCGTTCTCTTTTTTAACACTATCCATGAGTCATCTAGAAAGTCATATTGTTCCTAACTTCCTATCTTCTATTCCTAGTCTTTTTTAATAATATATTTAAAAATATATTAAAATAATAAAAATATATTTTTAATTGAATAAGATTTTTATAACTAAATTTTTTAAAAAGATTATATTTCATTAGTAAATTAAAATTTGAAGACTAAAATAGAAGAGCCGAAGTGAACCTTAAATTTAAAAGGTTAGATAAAAAAAATTGTAGGGGGCGGTGGGAGTATCAAAAAGTAAGATCTTTATCCATTGTTGAAACTTGATTACCATAATTTTTTTTTAGTCATTTTATGTTAAAATCGTATCTCGGGTGTAAACCAGAAAAACCATGTTATTTATATAAATATCACCAACTTGTTGTGACCATGAACATACTTCTAACACACATTTCCTCTCCCACTCCACATCAGCACACCCTCCTATCCCACGCCACATCAGCATCACATCAATTTGTCTTTCTTACCACCGCATCATACACCAATCCAACACCTATCCCTCAACCATGGAAATGGTCTCCCTCCAATCCCACACCTTTCTTATTAAAAAAGTGTGGAAATAGTGATTTATAAGACTAATTCATTGCTTCTTAGATTAAGACTTACATCACAATCACAACAAAAGAAAATCAATGGAGCTTCTTCATCATCTTATGCTCAAGAAGACATTGAAGCACCCAAAAGGCCAAAGCCCTCACCTAGATTATTATGTATTATTATTATTCAACACCGTTGATTTTATAAGTTTTTGAACAGTTGGATTGCAATATGTTCAAACATAGATGTCTATATTTTTAGGTATTTTTTTGCGATGGTGTTGTGGGCCATGTCGAGTATTTAAACATTTATTGAATATGTTGAGTCTTAAAATGGTAAAAGAAAAGTGAAGTGACTTACTAATACATCCTTAATGACACTTGAAGATGATGATGATGGTAGTATTAAGTGAATTACATCTCAAAATTTGATGATGGTCAGAACTAGGATTCATATGGCTTTGAGGGGAAGTGTTTATAGAGGAATAAATGTTCCATATCATATTTTGGTGATAAACCAAGTTGTGGGTCTTTCTGTGTAAAGGGGTGAGACTAGACTTGTACAACATAAGACTGCAATTCATTTCAAAGGAATCCAATAAACAAAAACCAATTATTCCTATTATGCCCTTATGCTTTAAAAATTAGAAGCAAATACGTATAACTTGAGTAGAGTAGTAATAAGCAAAATGTATAAAAAAAAAATCCATAATTAATTCGGACACTATATTCATCATTCATGATTCATGTGTATATGCCCATCAATAATAAAAATAACTACAACTCCCCAAAAGATCAAAATCGGCACAAACAAGCGTGCCAAACAAACACTAATAATAATAATAAATAATAACAAGTGAAGCAGCAACTTATTTTCTGACGAAAATACCCAAAGTCAACAAGTCAAACCATATAAGTCATGGCGACCTGAATCAAGTGCGTATGCGGCACACTCAAAGTCGCGATACCCCTCCTGCAATTCTTCCTCATAAACGCATAAAAATAATTAATAACCAACTTCTTAATAAACCAAGATTCCTTTTTTGCCCTTATGTCCCCATGTCCCATAAGGTAAACCACCCCAGACTCCTTAGCCTTATGCAAAAACGCCAACTCATTCTCTAAACTTAGTTCCGGATCCGTGTGCCCACTTGCCTCCGAAGTCGTTGCTTCCATCGGTGGTGGTTGGGGGTGGTACTGGTTAATTACGTTTCTGCCCTCCGGGACACCGAAATAGACACTACCGTTGGGGCCCACAAGTACCCTCGACGGGTCATTTTCAAAATCGGAATCATCATCGTCCCCATCGCTTTCCAACTGTCTTTCTTGGGCTTCACGCCTTATGAACTTTTCTAAGCTTTCAATTAAAAGCTGCTCGAAGATTTGGTGGTTTTCTTTTCGTACGTCTTTGTATCCATACCTATCAAATTTTTACCCCATTATATAGCATTCTACTCTGAAAAATATTTAAAATTTTTTTTTTTTTTTATTAAGATATTATACTTTGAAAAGTCTACCTGGCAATACAGCGAAAGATATGGTAGCCTTTAGAGCAAACTCTTCGAAACAGAAACCTCTCATTCTGAGGGACAACAGGAACAGGAACATATTTTATACACACAAAAATAATCATGGAATGGACAGCTGGAAGGGTGGTTAAAAAATGTCCGAAAATGGCAGGAACACCCTTCACAAGTTCATTATAAAGCAACCCAATGCCAGGTGTCCTGACAGTTCCAAGGTTGCATCCTAGCTGGCGTAACACATCCATTGACATTTTTTTCTTCACCTCTGTTTCGTATTTGAGCTTGCTCCCGTAGTTCCAGATGCACATGATGAGGAACACAACTATGGAGAACAGCAGAATGATCCAGCTTCCGTCCCCGATTCCGCTCAGGACGGAGGAAAGGAATAGCAATTCCATTCCGAGGAAGAAGAAGGAGAATATGATGACAGTGGTTATGTTGATCTGCCATATCAGGAGCATTACTAGGGTTACTAAGAAGGTAGTCATCATCATCACTCCAATCTCCGCAATACCTGTGCATTTTATTTTTTTAACAGTAATAGATTGTACTTGAAGGGCATTTATGTCTTTTTAAAAGAAGTAGTAGTGGTACCGTATGCATTCCCGATCTCATTGGTGCTTGCAATACAGCAGACAAGAAGTACAGCAGAGGCCATGAGAAACCAGTTGATAACAGGGATATAAATCTGACCCATAAACTTGCGAGAAGTATGAACGATTTTAAGCCTGGGAAAGCAACCAATGGCTGATGATTGTTTGATACAAGAGAAAGTTGCTGTTGTCATTGTTCTACTTGCAATCAATGCAGCAAAATTAGCAATCAGAAACACAGCCCAAAAACCTCCATCTGCACACACACACACACACACACACCATATCAGAATTAGACATTTGGTTTGGATGGTATCTTTTAAAGAAATTGTTCCTTCCAAAATGTAAAATCTGACCAGGAATTGAAGAAAAGAAAGCCTGCTGTGGGTCCCCATAATTATCCATGAGATATGCAGCTTGACCCATGTAACCCAACATAAGGCATGGAAGTACAAGAAATACAAAAGTGATTTGTATTGTTCTCACTGGAAAATAACAAAGATCTGCAAACATCGCTTCTGAACCTATATATAGAATACAAAAAAAAGAATCAAACCATTTAGAATAGGGTTAAGTGCAATAAATATTAAATAACAATGTACTTTTACTACTTAAAGTTTGGAAATCAAGATAAACAAGTATAGATGTGAATGGAAATGAAGATAAAGATTTACCAGTTGCACAAAGAAGGCATCCACCCAAAGAGTACCAAGCTTTAGTTGGGTTCCTTTTGAAATAATAATAGATGTGAATGGGATTAAATGCCTTGACAACACTGCTATCATGTTTCACAAGATTGTAGATACCAATGCCACCAAGAGAGCAGAACCATATAAATAAAGCAGGCCCAATAACAAGCCCAACTTTACTTGTTCCATATTTTTGTACACTGAACAAGATAATAAGATACGCAACCGAAATCATCACCACATGATCTGCAACAAATAAATAAATAAACAAAATTTTTTAAAAGAATAAAGTGACTTTCTATTTAAAAAAGAAAAGAAATCAGCAAAAAGAACACTAGCACAAAATTACATGTAGGATCATGTCACCTTGCTCAACTGCAGGAAATGCAACTTTTAAACCACGAACAGCAGATATTACTGCATCAAAGAAATTATAAGTGAGTGCTAGAGTTAGGAAAAGGACCAAATGCAAGAAACAGCAGCTTACTTCCATTTATTTGAGAAAGAAAAAGTGGTGTTTAAAATAAATAAATAAATACCTGACATTGCAGGTGTAACAACCCCATCAGCAATGACCATGGAGGTGCCAGCAAGGACCAACACTAAAACAAGCTTTTTCATTGTCAATGAATTCTCAAGATGCTCTTTTATTTTCAATGACCTTTCAAGTTCTGCAGATGGCACCTTCAATCTGAAGCTTGATATACGGGTATCAGAAGTAAGCTGATTTGGTAGAAGACTGATCTTAGCATGTCTACATATAAGTGAATATAAAGCAAATGTCCCACCTGCAACATGTAGTCAAGTACAAATCAACATTATACATATATAGATATTACAAGGAACCTGTAGTATTAAAATATGGAATAGTATTAAATATATTTACAAAAGTTACCTTCACCATCATCGTTTGCCAGAAGAACAATGAGAATGTACTTGATGAGTGGGATCAAAATCAATGTATATAAAACAAGAGATAGAGCCCCAATGATATCTGCATTTGTTTCTATTGGAGCTCTGCTGAACATCACACTAAAGGTATAGAGTGGACTTGTTCCAACATCCCCAAAAACAACACCAAGTGTCTGAAAAACCAGGAAAATACTCTTTCCAAGACTAGCATCCTGCAAAAGTACACTTCAAGCTTTAGAAATAATGACATGTTGTATGAACACATGGTACAATCAAATTAGAAATGGAGAAGTTAAGAGTGGTTTCTTTTTTTTTTAATGGCTTGTTACACCGTCTATTTTGTTTAATGCTCATAGCATTTGATGAATGAAGCCCTAAGACCTAGTATCATGTGCCCAAAATACCAAAAAGAACCACTTATAATTTATGGAGTGTAAATTTGTAAAAATGGGATTTTTCATGGTGTGTAATGCGATACTCCTTGGTTAGTGGTGTCACACATGGGATCAGTATGGATCCTTCCATGATGGGAGCAATGAAAAAGTAGCCTATTCCTTTCCGTTAGTAAATCACATACACATTCAACACACATCCTTGAGTGTCTAACATTTTTGTTTTTGGTGAACTAAGTGAGTTATGCAATGCGATTTTTCTCAATTGTCAGCTAATTGTTGCCTCAAAGATACATAAGAGTGCCAAAATCACTTTGTCAGCAAAAGAGTTGTATTGTGTGTGCTCTCAGTTTATTGGTTGAGCTTTTAGTGTTCATTTCCATTCACGTAGTTCCAGATTTTGCTTTATTTTTGTCTAGAGGTTTTCAAGTCCATAAGAGGCCTCATTTGGACATTGTGACTTGGCCATGGGACCACCTGGAACCCTTGCATAAAGAAGGCTAGGGGTTAATGGTTATGTAATAATGAGTTTTCGGGTGATACAAGAAATTATGTAGAGCAACTTTTATTTGCCAGAAATCTTCTTCCTCCTGTTAAGATGTTTCATCTTGGTGGTGTGGATGTCCCCTTTCCTCTTAATGAATTCATGATGGATTTTTTTTCCTTTACAGATTATAGTTGTGGGTACTTCACTAATTATTTTGCTTATAATATCTTATAAGTAACTTCTGTGTTTGCTGTCCAACAACCCAGCTTTCTGTTCATCTCATGAGATATGATCAGTAACTTCCATGTTTTCTGCCAGCAACATTGCTTTCTGTCCATCTCATACTTTCACATCACATCTCTACAAAAGGTAGTGCTACAAATTCAGACTCAACTAAATCCTTATCTCAAAGTGTTTGTCATAATCCAAGAAAAACATGTAGAGAATAATCGCAACCACATATGGAAGTTTCCAAAAATTGCTAGAGCTAAATTAATACTAGAAAAGGAAGTGGAGCGAATTCAGACTCAAATAATTCCTTATCTCAAAGTGTTTGTCGTAATCCAAGATAAAATGGAAAGAATAATCGCAACCACATAGAGTAATTTCAAATAATTGCTAAAGCTAAATCCATACTAGAATATTGTTTCCCTAAATTTTTCTAGATGTTCAATCCCTTTAGAAGCCCCGTTCAGAGCTTAAAAAACGTTTAGCAGGAGGATGATAGCTTGAACAGTGAAGTGCAACTTGAAGTTATGTATATTCTTAGTACCAAAGGTTGCGATTTCTAGCATTTAACATCTAGTTAAGATAGTTACCAATTTCTTCTCGAAATGAGAAGAATTTGTATCCATCGTGGAGTTAGAATTTACTAATACGGGTCAGTTAGAACGGCTAAAATCAATGGAGCTACTGACAGAAGATCGAGACAGCGTACCTCGTATTCACTCCTGTGAGCGCCAGGGACCTCAAGGGCTTCGACGCCAAACGAATCAATCCTTGGCCCAGTCCGAATCAACTTCTGGTATAAACTATCTTCATCCTCCGAATCCATGTCATTTTGCAACGTAAAATCATCCCCGTCATCATCACCATTGTCCTCGTAATCGATCTCTGAATTCTCTTCGTCTTGAAACACCCATCGATGAGATTCCATTGAATCCATGGAACTTAACCCTCCGTTTCCCTTACTTGTACTCCCCCTGTCCGATCCGTCTTCCGCCATTTTTAAGCCTTCTTTTTCCGTTTCGCACTATCCAATCAACGATTATGCTCCAACTGTTGTTGATGCTCCATTTGGTGTAAATTTTTGTTGTGGAGAAATCGATCAAATCGAAACCCTAAAAAGAGATGTGAAAGAGAGTGAGATTTGTGAAGAAGGAAGTGGTGGTTGTTTCTCTTTCTGTAGCGGTTTTTTCCTTTCGTTCAATTCGCGAATTCGGCTGAAAGTGCCCATTTTTAATGTAGTGTTACGTAAAAATTAAATATCATAAAAATATTTTTTAATAAAATAATGTTAGTTATGTATAACAATTACTATAATATTTTTTGAATGATATTTCAAATTAATATTATAAACTTTGAAAGGTATACTAATAAGTTCAATACAATTACTTTAACATATATATTTGTCTATAGTATGGTTATTAAATCAATAGGTTCAAGTTCAATATTTATTGTCTATAGCATTCATGAATGTTGTAGCAAACTTTTGTTATGTCTAACACCTTAGACAATCTTACAAACTCATTTATGACAATCTACCCTCATAACATACTTCCAAAGTATGATCGACTGTGGATAGTTTGAATAATCTTGTTATTCTGGAAGTCAAAACATGCAAAAATGAAACAATAATAAACAATTGACACAAGACAGTAACTTTACTTATAAATAAAACTCTTTTTATTCAATCATCAAATGTCAATTACATTTTAACTATTACAAGTTTCTAAATATCTATCTAATCACTAAAAACTAATATCGTCATTCAGCCCGATACTCCTAGCATGCTGCAAGTGCTTAACCCTACTCAGTCCCTTCGTAAGGGGATATGTTGGGTTCTCCTTTGATGATACCCTCTTCACTATAAGGAGTCCTTCTTCTACTCGATGTCTTATGAAGTGATATTTTATGTCGATGTGTCTGGATCTGTCATGATCCCTTGGTTCCTTGGTTAAGGGGACCGCACCCTCGTTATCACAGAAAATCTCCATAGGCTTCTTTACAGCTGGTACAACCCCAAGGTCTCCGACGAAGTTCTTCAGTCATATTGCCTTCTTCAACGCTTCGCTTGCTGCTATGTACTCTGATTCACACGTTGAATCAGCTATTGTCTCATGTTTGGAACTTTTCCATGTTACTGCTCCTCCATTTAGGGTAAATATCCAGCCCGAATGAGAGCGGAAATTATCTCTGTCGGTCTGAAAGTTGGCGTCACTGTACCCTGTCACTCTCAAGTCTTCACTCCCACCGAGGGTAAGGACCCAGTCCTTAGTCCTTCGCATGTACTTAAGAATGTTCTTAACTGCCGTCCAGTGAGCTTTACCAGGATTCCCTTGATATCGACTAACCATGCTCAAAGCAAAGTCTACATCTGGGCGAGTACATGTCATAGCATACATGATCGAGCCAACTGCGGAAGCATATGGTATTCGACTAATTTCTGCTATTTCGGCATCGGTACTCGGAATCTGAGTCTTACTCAGTTTGGTATTGCTATGGATAGGCAATTCTCCTTTCTTGGAATTCTCCATGCTTAAACGTTTAAACATATTGTCTAAGTAGGTACTTTGACTAAGTCCTATTAGTCTTTTACTCATATTTCTTAATATCTTTATCCCTAGAATGTAAGCAGCTTCCCCAAGGTCCTTCATAGCGAAACACTTCCAAGCCAAGACTTAACATCCTGCAAAGTTGGGACGTCGTTTCCTATGAGCAGTATGTCATCTACATACAATACAAGAAAGCTAATTATACTCCCACTAGCTTTGACATATACGCATGACTCATCATCGCTTCTCGAAAAACCAAACTCTTTGACTTTCTCATCGAAACAAATATTCCATCTGTGAGATGCTTGTTTCAATCCATAAATGGATTTCTCAAGCTTACACACTCTATTAGGGTACTTTGCATCAACAAAACCCTCTGGCTGACTCATGTAAACATCTTCAGCCAACTTCCCATTAAGGAATTTGACATCCATTTTCCATATTTCATAATCATGAAATGCAGCTATGGCTAGCATAACCCTTATAGATTTAATCTTCGCTACTGGTGAGAAGGTCTCTTCATAGTCAACTCCAGGAGTTTGAGTAAAGCCCTTCGCAACCAATCGCGCCTTATAAGTGTGTACTTTCCCATCCATGTCGGTCTTCTTCTTGAAGATCCATTTGCACCCAACTGTCTTAAGACCTAGTACATTGTCAACCAAGTTCCAAACTTAATTGTCATACATGGTCTGAATCTCGTTTTCCATCGCCTCTTTCCATTTTGTAGACTCGGAGCCTGCCATGGGTTCCTTGTAGTTGTTAGGTTCATCCAAATTTACCAGTGTGCTATCACTGATAAATGTATCACCATCTGTAGTAATATGGAAACCATAAAACTCAGGTGCCATTCTAACTCTACTGGAACGTATCAGAGGTAAGGACTCGTCAACTGGTTCAACTGGAGTTTCCTCATCGGGTTGAACACTAATGTTTGAGGTTCCTTCATCACTTAACTCTTGAAGCTCTTCAAGGTCAATTTGCCTCCCACTGTCCTCTTGGAATATAAGTTCTCTTTTGCGGAAAAACCCTCTCCTCGCAACGAAGACAACATTGTCACTCGGTCTATAGAAGAGATATCCAAAGGATTTATGTGGGTAGCCGATGAAAATACAACACTCACTTCGAGGTTCGAGCTTGTCGTGAGTCTCTCGTCTTACGAAAGCCTCGCAACCCCAAACCTTGATATGTGCTAACGAGGGAACCTTCCCTGTCCACATCTCATGAGGTGTTTTGGCAACCTTCTTAATTGGGACTAGATTAAGGATATGGGTGGCAGTCTCCAAGGCATACCCCCAGAATGAGATAGGTAACAAAGCTCGACTCATCATGGAACGAACCATGTCCAGCAAGGTTCGATTGCGCCTCTCAGCCACACCATTAAGCTGCGGTGTCCTAGGTAGCTTTAATTGTGAAATAATTCCACATTCCTTAAGATAGTCGTGGAACTCAATACTAAGATACTCCCCACCTCGATCGGATCGGAACACCTTTATTTTCCTGCCCAATTTATTCTCCACTTCTTGCTTAAACTCTTTGAACTTTTAAAAGATTTCTGACTTATGCTTGATTAAGTAGATATAACCATATCTGTTATAATCATCGGTAAAAGTCACATAGAAGCGGTTAGCATCCCTTGTGGCGGATCTGAAGGGTCCATACACATCGGTGTGTATGAGATCCAACAAACCCTCACCCTTTTCACACGAACCAGTGAAGGGTGACTTGGTCATCTTTCCAAGCAAACAAGATTCACATGTGTCATCTGACTTTAGGTCAAATGACTCCAACACTCCATCCTTTTGGAGTTGGGTTATGCGCTTCTTGTTGACATGTCCAAGACGACAATGCCACAAGCATGCTTTGTCCAAACCATTGGACGAATTGATATGTAACACATTATTTCCTAAGTTATCAACAACCATCACAGTTTCATATATACCATTACAAGGCAATGCTTCAAAATAAAAAGTAACATTATAAAAAACATTAATAGATCCAATTTTATTATTAAACAAAAATCAAAAACCTTGTTTATATAAACCATAAAAGGAAATAATGATTCCCGCCATATCAGACGAGTAGCAACAATTATTCAACTCTAAATTTAACCCACTACTAAGCAATAAAGTGTAAACTCCAATCTTGGTGACAGGCGACACTTTCTTATTCCCCATGATTAAGTTCATCTTCCCGTGCTCCACATCCCTACTTCTTTTTAGACCCTGCAAATCAGAACAAATGTGAAAACCACATCTTGTATCAAGGACCCAAGAATTAGCATGTGATGAGTTATTAAAGTGAATAGTGTAAATACCTGCAAATGTGGGCTTGATCTTCCCATCCTTTATGTCCTGCAAGTATTTGGGGCAGCTTCGTTTCCAGTGCCCCCTTTTCATGACAATGGAAGCATTGTGCTTCCTTTGGATTGGATAAGGGAGTAGCATAACCACTTTTGGACCCACTAGAAGAGGATCCATCATGGGACTTTACCTTGTGGCTCTTTGAGGAAACTTTCCTCTTTTTTCCCTTCCCATGTCCAATTGCCAAGACAGGGGCAACAGTAATAGGAGTAGGCACAACAGATTTGCCTTTTAAACTGCTTTCAGCAGTCCTCAAAAGGCCTTGAAGCTTACTAAGAGTGACTTCCTCCTTGTTCATATGATAAGTCATTCTTAACTGATCATAACAAGAAGGCAAAGAGTGTAGGATAATGTCAATAGCCAACTCTTCATCGAAGTTAACATTCAACTTCAGCAAGCGGTCCACAAACCTTTGCATCTTTTGCAAGTGGCCCGTGATGGACTCTCCATCCTTCATCTTTGTTGTGATCATGGAGGCAATGATCTCATACCTTTCCTGTCGAGCACTTTGATGGTACCTCTCCATCAAGTCTTGGTGCATCTCGTAAGGCCAGAAGTCCTCATATGACTTCTGCAGCTCAGGAGTCATAATGGCTATCATGATGCACGACACCTTTGTGGCGTCCTTCTCATGAGCCTTATACTCAAATATTTGTTCAGGAGTGGCAGTAGACTCATCAATCTCCTTTAGCTCTTTGTTGATGACATATTCCTTTTCCTCGTATCGAATGACCATGTGGATGTTTCGAATCCAGTCATTGAAATTCGATCCATCAAATATGACCCTCCCACATAAGTTCATGAGGGAGAAAGAGCCAGAAGCATTTGAGTTTGAAGCAGTGTTCGAAGTAGACATTTGAAAATAAAGACAAAGTTTAGATTAGATAAGGATCCGTAATATAACACCCAAATGAAATATTAAGGCTAGGACCCAACACAATATTTCACAATTCGGAAGAGGGATTCCGTAATCCAATTGCAAAATATTTGAAGGTAGGTAAATGACGATTTACCAATTTCTACCATGAAAAATGAAAAAAAAAGATTAGGTTTTAAATGAATTGAAATTCCTAGATTCTTTGAGATTCATTGAAATTTTCAATGGCATGTTTAAATCTCGATTATGCCCTTCAAGTTTGTGACTGGGATACCGAGGATCACAAACAAGGTGTCATAACCATGCAAATGTGCTCGGCACTCTCGAGTCATTTACCACCTAATCAATGTGCCGGTAAACCACACACGCTCCATTGATCTATGACAATTCTCGAGCTACCCTTTGCCACCCTTGTTAGTCCCAAATTAGTATGCCGGT